CTGCTGCTGCTGCTGCTGCTGCTGCTGCTGCTGTTGCTGCTGCTGCTGTTGCTGCTGCTGCTGTTGCTGCCAAACGGGTTTTTGAGCCTTGCTGCAGCTCTCTTAAGTTTCTTCAAGTTCATTTTCTTTTTCTACACTCTAAACTCTAAACAACCAAACCCAAAACCGCGAAACCCTAAACCACAAAACCCCAAACCACTAAACCCTAAACCACCAAACCCTAAACCACTAAACCCTAGAGAGCTGTAGGGTTTGGCTCGAAGTGTAGTGTCTTTGTTTTGCTGCAGGCTTTGGCGTCGTCTGCTTAGCGGCGTTGGTGGCTTCAGAAGTGCGCTCTAGGGTTTAGGGTTTAGGGTTTAGGGTTTAGGGTTTAGGGTTTGGGGTTTAGGATTTAGGCTTAGAAGAAGAGGAGGAAGCGAAAGAACTCCTCTTCAATGATGGCCACCATTATGAACAGTTTCCGGGAGCGAAGTGAGAGCTTAGGGTTTAGGGTTTAGGGTTTAGGGTTTAGGGTTTAGGGTTTGGGGTGATGTGTTGCAGTTCGGCTATCGCATGTACATGGACTACAACTACGGCTTTGAAACAATTGACACTTCTGACGCGCAGATGCTGAAAGGTGCGTTGCTTCTCTAAACTAGGGTTTAGGGTTTAGGGTTTAGGGTTTAGGGTTTAGGGTTTGGGGTTTGCGATTTAGGGTTTAGGGTTTAGGGTTTGCTGTGCGGCGCAGAGGTCATGTTCGGAGGGAAGCCCTGGATGGTTTTATGCAGATGGCCCCAAAAGCGATCGTACGTCTGCGTTGCGGGTCGCCTGAGGGTTTAGGGTTTAGGGTTTGGAGTTGAGGGTTTGGGGTTTGGGGTTTAGGGTTTAGGGTTTAGGGTTTAGGGTTTGTGCAGGAAGATTCCGGACGCCATTAACCGGAGCCGCATCGAGTTGCAGAAGCTCTTGCGAATGGGACGGCTGGACTGTGCAGGTAAAACCCCCCAACCCCCAAACCCTAAACCCTAAACCCTAAACCCTAAACCCTAAACCCTAAACCCTAAACCCTAAAG